GTCCCGCGGGGACGGGCGGGCGGGGGGGGGGTCCGACCCAGGCACCCACCCCGCAGGGTCTGGCAGCGGCCCTGGGAGGGCCCTGGAGGGGAAGGAAGGCGGCAGCGGGTGTGATTCTTAATGTCCTGGCGTCGGAAGGCGTGCGCTCGGGTAGATGGGCGTACGGCGGTGTGAATACACGCGTGTTTCGGGGTGTCTGTAGGTCTGTCTCTTCACAAACACGCGTGTATTTGCTGAGCCGGCCAGCTCCCTGGGTCGTCACCCGGTGTGCGGAGCGTGGCGAGCTCGGGTGACCCTCCCTGGGTCCTCGGTGACCCCTGGGGTGCAGCCCTTGGGCCCCCTCTTGGAAGAAGCGGGACGCGATGCACGCGCCTGGGAGCAGCCCGGGGACGTGGGACCAAGGGTCCCCTCGCTCGGAGAGGTTTGGGCGCTGCTTCTCCAGAGCTGCTCTGCCCTGGTGCCGGCTGGGGGGGCTGAGCCCAAAATCAGCACGGGGATGTGGTGCGTCCCATCCCTCCTTGGTCCTTCCTGCTCCTCTGAGCTCGGATTAAATTGTAACCAGCCGGGTGCTGCCAGGGCGTTCGCCGTCAGCGCCTGGGACGCTGGGGTTTGGCACGGGTAAGTGCCCCCCCCCCAGAAGCGGGACGCGATGCACGCGCCTGGGAGCAGCCCGGGGATGTGGGACCAAGGGTCCCCTCGCTCGGCGAGGTTTGGGCGCTGCTTCTCCAGAGCTGCTCTGCCCTGGTGCCGGCTCGGGGGGCTGAGCCCAAAATCAGCACGGGGATGTGGTGCGTCCCATCCCTCCTTGGTCCTTCCTGCTCCTCTGAGCTCGGATTAAATTGTAAAGCCTTGCTTAAGGGGAAGAGAGCAGCTCAGAGGGGTGGTGCAGGGAGGATGGTTAAGCTCACTCTGTCCCCTTTGGTAAGAAGGGGTTTGGCGCACGCTCCCCCGTTAGCCAGGGAGGAATTTGGGGTTATTCTTTGTCTTTAAACACCGGGCGCTTTTCCTGACGCACCTCGTCTCTCCTAGGTCAGCATGATCCCGGGGCACGGGCCGGTGATCCAGTCGGTGCTGGGGACCTTCCTCACCTGGGGGCTGACGGCGGCTGGCTCGGCGCTGGTGTTCGTGTTTTCCAGCGGGCAGGTGGGTGCCGGGATCGTGTCCTCTGTCCCTGAGAGGCGAGCGGGGTCCAGGGGCTGCGCTCTGCTCACGGGGGGGGTTTGGCAGCCTGGTCCCAAGCGTGAGGGACTTAATGTTGCCCCTGGGAGGTCCTGGGGCAGGAGGAGAAAAAAATCCAGCTCCTATCTCTCCCGTGTGCCAACACAGAAGAGGAGGAAATCAAATTCCTGACCCTGGGCTGTGGTATGTGCTGTAGCGCAGCTCGGGAGATGGGGCAGAGCCGCAGGCAGGGCTCTGTGTTTGGAACAGCAGGTTCTCCTCCTGTAACCTGGTTTCTCCGGTGTAGGATTCGGGTCAGCCCCGTGCTCAGAACAAGCAAAAAGTGCTGATGGTTAAGTCATCTCGTATTCCAAAATTAGAGGCCCCCCTTGCTGCTGTGTTCAAAATTGCCCGGATGAATTTATTATTTATGCCTCTCTCATGTGATGATTTATTCAGGAGTTTGTTGCAAAGTGAGATTCCCTTTGCAGTAGCACGTTGGGCCCTTCCTGGGGGAGGGCGACGCGCTAAAGGAGAAAAACTGCGCCGGGAGTGAAGCGAGCAGGATGCGCGCTGGGTCACTGGCAGGGGAATGGCTGGGTTTATAGCAGCCTGTTATTGGAGGGATCAAAACCTTCAAGAGGGGGGGGAAACCCAGGGCGGCCTGGGAGAGTTTCTGGTTTACCTTTCTGTAGCCTCAGAGCATTTTGGCATGGGCACTGGGTGGGCTGAACCCCATCCGGGTAGTGTTGGTGGGTTGAGGGAGCCCAGGACGCGCTACAGGGTCTTGGTGGTGGTGGGTACCATCACCCCGGGGCGGCAGGCTCCTCGGTGGGTGCCATCACTCCGGGGTGGTGGGCTCCTTGGCGTGTGGGGCATGGCTCTTGGTGGTGGTGGGTGCCATCACTCCGGGGTGGTGGGCGCCTTGGCGTGTGGGGCGTGACTCTTGGTGGTGGTGGGTACCATCACCGCGGAGCGGCAGGCTCCTTGGTGTGCGGGCACGGCTC